CATCACATCAATTAAACTATACTATCTGTCTTGCCCTTTTACTTTATTACGTGAATTTCGGCCCCGTCTTATCTCCCATCACAATCAGATTTTTTCGCAAACTTCTTTCCAGGGGCAGGGACGTTTTTTTACAAGGCTCCTCGTGGGTCGGCAATTTTCCGTTGCACGTACAAGTTTTTACGGAAGACGTCAGAGTGATTCTTTCTCTACTTTGCCCAGTGAACCGAAGGTAACGTCTTACGGACCGGTCTACTTCAAGAAGATTCACTCACCCAACCAATCGTGGAATGTACTTTTAATCTGTTAAAAAAAGTTACCAACTTCGTTGAAATCGCCAACTCTGGGAATATGATTCTTTCGTGATTTGCCAAGAACCTTTCCCGTATGGGAAATAACGACGGCAGCATTCCAAATCACATCATCTTTGGCTTCATCCCGTTCCAAAATCGGGTTGATGATCACGATACCGTATTTGGCTGCCAACTGAAAAAAAAAACATACCATCGATTGAATTTTGCTGTAAACTTCTTCCCAGAGCATCCAGCCTTCTCAGGAAGGGCAGGTGGGTGGTCTGCTACCTTCATCATGGGTTTTCGCCAAATTTCTAGAAAAAATGCAAGGATAGAGCTACTTTTTTACAGACCATCCGTTCTTCAGTGATACTTTATTACCCCATGCTCTCCCATCAATCTGTAAACGATACAATTATCTCACGTTCCATGGAACAACGCAAAGAGAACCCTGTGTGAATGAAACCTGCTCGTAAACCATCCAATTTGATGGACGAGTTTTCTGTTCCGTCGCACAAACGGTTCTACCAATGACTCAGCCATGGGGTCTGCCCACTTATAATGTTGCGAAGGAATGTGTTCAAGGAAAAAAAAACGGAAAAAGTGGGCGTTCGGGAAAATACCTATCAATTACGTATTCGGCAAATTACCTGATAGATAAGAAGTTAGAAACCTTACACTAATAGGATTTCCACTTATATTTGTTTCACCTATTGTAAGCACTATCCTGCAACGGAGCTTTCAATCCCACAGAGAAAAAAAAA